TTAAAAAAATAAATACATTAAAACACACACACACACACACACATATAGTATTTTGATATAAAATGATATAAAACTTGAAAATTAATTAATATTTATCACATTTTATATTTTTTTAAAAAAAAAATTTTTATTCGGGTATTCGGGCCAAGCCCAAATCCGATAGGGCTTGGCCCGAATTCCCTCGGGCCTATTCGGGCAGCTCAAATAGGCTCGAATAATAAAAAAATAATATTTTTTCGGGCTTGGTCCTAAATTTTTTGGGTGGGTTTGGGCTGGCCCATCGAGCTCGGCCTAAATTACCGACTCTATCGTGTTGTATGCCAACTTAGGAGCATTGCATTGTTTTGGTATTACTTTATGAGAATTTATGGAATGTGTGTGTATCTTAGCTTAAGCTTGTAGTGATTGTGATTGAATGTGTGTGAATGGCCTCGATACTGATATAAGTGATTTCTTATGCTAACTAAGTGTTGAAATGACAAAAAATGAGATTTATAATGAATTTTATCCACCCCTTTGTATTATTAAAAATTAAGGATTTGGTGGTCACTTTAAGTATGAATGGTTATTTGTGTGATATAATTAGCCATGTATATTGTGTGTGGTCTATTTGATGTGGTCAAAGTGGTTTCGATGCTAATGACATTAGGTGGCGTGGATTGGACACCCTTGAATGTGTTTTGAGGTAAAAACAAATCATTTTGAGTTCAGGTGTTGATCTTTTTAACAGATAATTATTTGAGTGTGAGACCAACGCCATTAGCTAGAGAGTTCGAAGAACTTCTTGTAGACAATTGAATCACTCAATTTGGACATCGGATGGCGAAATAACAATTTGAAAGTTCGGAGTATTGTCTAACAACAATCTGCTATCATGGTAGTAGGTGCCTACCGAGGCGCATGGTGATTATGTCACAGCATAATGCTCGCTGAAGGACTCATTTCTCTGTGCCATCCGTCGTGATGGATGGGCCAGTTTGTGGAGAAAATTTCAGTCTTTCCTACTTATGCTTAAGTGTTGATTGGTTTTCATGCTTCCAATATCCTGTATGACTTGTTTTAAATTATAATTTGAGCTTAAACAACTTTTGAAACAGGTTTTTCTTGAAATCTCAATGTTTTAAATTAATTTCTTTCAAACTCTTATGTTGTGATAATTTTTATTTAGGATTTTAATTAATTTGAGTTATCACAGCGGCATGTTAGAGTGTTGTTTTGATAATATTAAAGTGAACATTACACAAGTTAGGCTCAATTCAAGTTGGGCTTATTCAAATCATTTTTGGAGCCCATATAGCTAAGCCTAACCCTAACTTTTTTCAATCAGGTTCAAGCTAGCCCGTCAGATTTAGCTAAAATTGCCAACTCTATATACATATAGAGTTGAAAATTCTAATGATTGAGCTAATTTAAATGAGGCTTAAAATATCCTGCCATTTATAAAAAAGCCTATACAGCCAAGCTTGACCCAACCCCACTTTTTTTTAGGCAGGTTTGGGCTGGGTCGAATTATTGGCTTTAATGAGGGGAGTATTTTACTAGTGGCTCTTGTGGAGCTGTGGATCACTTCATATGTTATCTCAATCAAACAACATTCATGGTAAGAAAATCAATAAAAGTCAATTTAGTTGGAAAGGATTTGGTTCGTATCTCACAAAATAATGATGTCAAATCTCATTATAAAGGTTGTTAAACTCGCGAGTTTATATAAGTTTGTGACGAGAATGTAGACTCAAAACATAAACTCAGATTCTAAACTTGAAAGAGTTTACTTCTATTAATAAATTAACTTTTAAAAGTACATGATTAAATAATTAAAATATAGAATATAACTATAATTTGATTTAAATATATTTTAAATATAAATCATTGAAATTAAATTCTTATATATTCATAGATTATTGTACTCAACAAATAAATTTTAACATAAGACAACTTAGTTTTAGTATTTTTCTTTTTTTTATTAATGTTAGATTTTTTTAGTTTTATTTTTCATTAAACTGAATTCTATTTTTTTTATAAATCAAATTTTACATAATATATACTTAATTGCTCAAAGTTTATGAGTGAATTGGCACTATTTTATGAGTTAGAAATGTAAAAACAGTAAACTCAAAAAATTAATTCATGAGTTCAATCGAGTTTAATCAAATTTAAATTTATGAACAAGTTAACATAATTTTATTAACTTAAAATGAAAAAAATAATAAATTCAAATACTCAACTCAAAAGTTTGACAACAATTTCCATTGGTAATGTAATAATATTGTTGACGAGTAATTTGTAAATATTTTTTAAATCTTGAGACATGTCCTAATTCTTATGGGCCTCGAGACTCAACTTGTCTAACAAATTTTTTATTAAAAAAAGCAATTATGACAAAAAAATTATTTTTTTTACATACAAATCATAATTTTAAATTTCTTTTATGGGTTATTTCCAATTATAAATACTTCTTTCAACTAAATTCGAATATTGATTTGTAGTATTAAGGAAGATCAACTTTTTAAACTAGACCTAACCTTTTTAAGTGAACTTTTTACATCAGTTGATTTTTTGAAAGCCAAATTGAACCCAACTAATGTAGTCGAGCTAAGCCGGCTTAACATGAGCCTAGATCTCGAAAGTCATTCTATGAAAGCCAATTCTTCATTTTATACATTATAATCCTTAAAGAAAGAAAAGAAAAGAAGCTTCTAACATTCTCAACAAAGCTCAATTTTTTTGTTTTTTTCAGGCAAGAAAATCAAACTGACACACTGACACAATCAACTTGAAATTCATTCACGAGCGAAATCAAATGCATTTAACATTCTCTTGGACTGGAAAAAAGGAGGACTTCCTTTGGTCGGGGGAAAAAAAAAGAGGAGGACTTCCTTTTCCAAATAAATGGGTGGCACTGAATGCTAGGGATTGGGGTTGGGGGTTGGAGTTGGAATTAGGTTAAAATAGTCTAAGTTTTAACATGTTTGATATAAATCATTTATATAAAAATACTCAAAATCACCACTCTTAATATTGCAAAATCAATCTCAAAATTAAATTTTGATAACTAAAATACAAGATCTGACTTGCCCTCCTCCTTCACCTAATCGTGTGCGCCTCCTCCGTCAACCTCAACCTTGCAAATGTTGCAGCATGTTTACCCACACATAACTCCAGCGTTAGTAAGGGAGGAGGAGATCATTTTTTGGCTACATATGTAAAATAAAAGATAGAAATTGCTTCATCAAATGTGAAGGAGTAAAAATCAAAGTCAGAGAGATGCAGGACATCGATGAAGAATGAGATGGAGGAAGAGGAAAGATCAGAGTTAGACACATTGTCACTGGAGTAGGACGCCGTTGCAATTATCTTCCACGATCTGCTTTGACTCACATAGATCTGCTTTGACTTCTCCAGATTTGCTACGTTTGAAACTAAAACTAAGCGAAGTCTCAGAACAAGGTTCAATTTGTCAAGATGATTTGCTGTTGTAGAATTGGGTTTTCATCTTTGAAGTTCTAATGATTATGAAGATGTTGTTTAGTTTCAAACTCTAGATTTATTACCCACTTTTGCATTCTTTGCTTTTCAAGCATTTAAACTGAAACTAAAGCTACGCCGCCATAGTCATACCTCATAAGTTAGGGTTATAATTTTTTTAAGGGACATTATAATCTTTTTATAATTTATATTTAATTATATAATAAAATAAAAGTAAGGATTTCCTGTAAATATTATTTTATACAAAATATATTTTTAAAGTCTTACACTCACTCTTAATATTAATATCAATCTCAATTTCTTTAAATTAAAATTTGTGTATGCCTAACATCAACAGCATCCATAAGGTCCCTTTCCACTTTTCCTAATTTCTTGAGCACGTCTCCAACTTTGTCGTTAAAATAGCTCTCACTTTGAACCACATGGAGCCCACGCCCAGTACAAACGTTTCATGATTGATTGTTTATTTTGACTGTGCATAGATGTTTTTCAATTATAAGTAATTATGTTGAAAGTAAAATCTGATATTGAATACATACATTTTTTGTAACAAAGATGATTAATTTTGTTAAGAAAAATTAGTTCTTTCAACTCGAACTAATCTTGTTGGGTGCACATTCCATGATTATTATTATTATTATTATTAAGAAAAATATAACTTTAAATCCTTATATTTTATTTTTATTTTATTATTAGCCTCTATATTTTTTTTCAGTGTTTTAAATTCCTACACTTTTATTTTTTAATATTTTATGTCTCTCCATAAATAAAATATAAAAATTTTGGATAGACCTACAACACACACAAATTAAATATAGAGACGTAAAATATTAAAAAAATATAAAAATTAATAATAAAATGTGAGTAAAGTGGATGAATGTAAAATTATATTTTTTTAATTATTATTATTATTATTAGTTTTTGTCTCCATTCTCAGACTATAGCCAGCCCGCACTGACTGAATCTAAGTAAACAGAAAGATAATGGATACTTCAAAGAAGAGATACAAGACGAGCATGATTACAAAGTACTCACTACAATCAAATATCAAAATATCAAAATATTTTTGGACTGAAATGTTGGAGATAGAATAGATAATTTGCATGGATCAAAATTATTATTTAGGTCAAACTCAATTTATATTAAATTTATTTGAATTAAATTTAAAATATTTTATTTTATTAAAAAAGTCATATAATTAAGTTTGGGCTTGTCAAAAATTGTTAGCTCTATATAAATATAGGGTTAAAAGTTAGAACAGTTAAACTTATTTGAACTGAACTCAATTTGACACAGGCTTATTTGAATCATAGTTAAAGTGTCTCATCATCTATACAAAATTCATATAAACAAGCTCATCTCTAATTTTTTTACCAGTGATTTCGGGTTTAACTCGAATCATCCGCCTCAATTGGAGATGAACGAGCTTGCAAGTGTGCCCCACCTGCTCCTGATTTTTAACATGATTCTACTTTCAATCAAGTAACTCGCATAGGTGCAGAGAACCAAAAACATCAGAGAGAAAAAATAATCAACAATGGATTGCTGTGATTTGGCAGGAGAGTGACAGACTCATGGGTCGGGTACTAGACATTTATATAGTATCAACAACAATCTTAACCATCAACTTTGAAACATGACCTGATGAAGCTATAGCTAAAGAAATACAAATGTGATGACTTTCCCTTCCCTGTCACCACAAAAGCCATATACAGCACACGACTCTCTGATCTCTCTCACTGCAGCTTCATTTCTTGCTCGCCGACACATACAAATCAAGCCCTTTACATTACAGCGTGCTTCGTCCCACCCAGTTCCCTTGTGCACTTTCACCACCATGCTTTGAATCTAGACTAATTCCCTATATTTACCTTCTCAAGACCAGAGCCCACTTGATACTTGGACCTTATCTAGAAGATAAAAATGGGGATTCAGTGTTCAATGTATAAATAACAAAACAATCTATTGAACCAGTTGAGGAACCCAGAAACAAAGTTCTGATTTTTCTTCTTCATCTTCATTTTTGTTTTCCCTCTGTTATGTCACCAAGGTCTGGTTCCGCCATTGCCGTCCAGAGACCAGGTCCTTCGGGAACGTGTTGTGGTATTCACGACGGGACGATAACGAGAAGTACTACTCCTGAAGGTTCGAGGTTCTGGAGAAGAAGAAGAAGATGATGATGATGAAGAAGCAGAGGGGTGAGCTCGAGCTCCAGGAGTGAAGCAACCAAAAAGATTGCGAAACATTTTCCGAAATCCTCCACCTCTTCTGTCCCCTCCTCGATCCTCCTCCGTCGTCGACCAAGTCACCCTCCTCGGTTCGCCGCCGTTTCCAATACCACCGTCCATTTCTGTATACACAGCAGGAAGCTCACGATCAGAAGAACTTCTTCTCCCACCAGCGAACCTGCCCACAGCGAAGCCACCGCCGGGAAGCCTCCAAATGGTTAATCCCACGTTGTCATCGTCGTTCCAAGTGAGGGAATGCCCAGAAGCGTTAACGTTCTGCGTATCTGCCGGGAGCTCCTGCCGGCAAACAGGGCAAGTATTCCGGAGCGCAAGCCACGGCAAGATGCATTCCGAATGATAAATGTGCCTGCAAGGCAATTCGCGAGCAGTTGTGCCCGATTCAAAAGGCTCCATACAGACGGCACAGTGTGATTCCGTCGCCAGATGATCCTCATGAATCTCTATCGTCGGCAATGAATCGATAGCGGCTTTGGAAACCGGAGGTGGTTCGTATCGAGAAATCCCGTTCATTTCAATCTGAGAAAGCTGTTCCAGAAGCCTGTCGATTCCAGATCCCAGAAGCATCTCTGACATATTCGAAGGCAAAGGCCGGAGACCGGAACCAGAGCCGTCTTCGTAGTAAAGCTCGAACCCACGCCCGTGTCCTCCACCGGAATCATGACTCGCCCGTTGAGGAGATCCGCGGAGCACGACAACCGGATTAACCATAGCAAGATCGCCACCGCTCCGACGAGCCCTCCTCAACGCAGGACGCAGAGTCTGTCCAGAATTGGGGTGGTGGCGGTTGCCGATCATGTACATGGAAGCCGCCGGGAACCTCCGCCGCCGCGAATCAACGATGGAGGCAGGCCGAGGCATTTGCTCAATCTCCTCCACGAATCCACTGTCGCAGTCGGGACACACCACCGCGTCCTGCCTCCGCACCCTCACAAACCGACTGCATCTGTAGCACCAATAAGAAGATGACGTCCCCGAAGCCATCTGGATCCCACAATACAATATTCACGAAACGTATGTTACCAATCCTCCTTCAGTGAGACAGAGCCCCAAACTTGAAGCTCAAAAAGTATCCAATCCAATTCCAGAAAGATTCAAACTTGGAGCCCAGAATCTTGTTCAGAACGAAAGCCCCATCAGAAATCTCAAGCTCGGGAAATCATTGGGGACCGTTTGGACTTCGGGGGCACAAGGAAGAGGAAGGGGAGGGACGAGCGAGCGAGCGAGCGAGCGAGAGACTAATCTGTTGCGAGGAGAAGCTTAACAGCTCAATGGGTGAGGCCTTGAGTGTTGGAATGACATTGCAGGAATGAGGTGGCGACGTTTTAATCAATCAAACGTTGGTGTGTGGGTGTGTTGTTTTTCTGTTGCAAAAATGGAAGTTCTTTTAATAGGAATAAAGGTTGCAACGAAATGCAGATTTGGTTGTGAAGAAGAAAACAGGAAAAAGGGTAAAAAGGATAAAAAGGCAAATTTACTAAAAATAAAAGGAGCACGCGCCCAAACAGGAGCACGCGGTGTGAACAGAGAGTGGTCGTCATGAATGATTTTCAAAGAGGTGGCCTACGTTGTTGTTCGACACTTCATCATTTGGTCCATCGGCTTTCTCGTGCTCTTTCTTTCATTTTTTACGCTCTCTTTATTTTTATTTTTATTTCCGGTGCAACAAGGTGCTTCTTTTGCCGCCTAAGACAACTATACTCCAGTTAGTTTCTTTTAGGTGTATAATCAATTATTTGATACCAACTAAAAAATTATCTGATATTTATAATTATATTTTTTACAAATACTGTTATTAATACTGTTTTTTTTTCTTTATTTCTTCGTTAATCACCATCTTTAGGGGCGAACTTTTTTTTTTCTTACTGTTAAGTTTTTTTTTAATTGGTGGCAATTATATTCCAAACACGGTTATTAGAGATAGATACATTTTTTAGTAAGGATTTAAACTTTAACTCATCACATTCTAACAGATTATTCTTAATCTTTTGCTAAACCCACCTTTTTTGTTAAAAGCATTTTTTTTAAAAAATAATTACTATCTAAATTTTGCAAAACGTCTTATAAATATGAATGGCAAAATATTTTAAAAAAATATCATAAAAAAGGGAAGCCATTGATTCTTTTAATGTGTATGATCGATTTAATTATTTATCTTGAAATTCTAAATTTTACAAGGCTGGATCTGTATATCGATAAAACTATAGTGGCATTTAGTATCAATTGCGTTCTTTGAGTTATTATTACTCCAGACGGTGAGGATGTTATTGGATAGAGAGTTGGAGAAAATTGCTGAATACCCAACAATTTTACAATAATTACCTTACGCTAATGCAATACGTTGGGATTAAGCATTTGGCTAATATGTTCATGAAAGACTATAAATGGACTGGAACAGTTAGGAATGCTGGTATTCTAGTACAAATACATGAATCCTATAATATGTCATTTATATATTTAATGGCGGCTTGTGAACAACTAGCGATACATTCTTTTTTTTTTAATAAGATATTTAATTATTTTGCACCAACTAAAAAAATTATTTGATATTTTAAAATGATCTTTTTTTCACAAATACATTTTATATTTTTATCAAATACTACTTTCTCTATCTCTCTTTCTCTTATTTAATTAAAAATATCATTTTAGGAGCACTTTTTTTGTGTGTCTATCTTTACAAAGCCTCTTATAATATGAATGTCACAACAATCTTCTAAAACTGTCTTATAAAAAAGAATTGAGAAAATACAATATTCTTAATATACATATATAATTATTTTATTTTTCATCTTGAAATCCTCAATTTTACAAGTGTGGATTAGTGGATCCATTCCATATATCGATAAGCTATAATGGCAATTGTGCTTTTATATGCATAAGGAGCAATTAATTCATATCATCAATAGCTTATGAAGAGCTGTTAGTGTAGACATCAAAAACTTGTCAAACCCAATTTGACTCAACTTGACTCGTTGGAGTGAACAGTTGCTGCCGAATTTGGTTTCATGGCTGAACTGTTTGCTTGTGAAAACGCTATTGAATTAATTTTTGGCTTAATTCTGAGTTGACCCATCAACATTTTATCCTCACTTTTATTTTTTAATATTTTATTTCATTCAAGGTCTATATACTTACTCATTTTATTTATTTAAAAATTTTAAATATCAAAAAATGAAAGTATTAAATTCAAATATTAAAAAAATATAAAAAACTTATAACAAAATATGAAAAAGTGTAGGAGTCAAAAGATATTTTTTTTAAAATAAAATAAAAGTAAAAGAAAATATGTTAGAATGTAGTCCTACATATTAATAGGTAGCCTAGCTTGACTTTTTTTTTTTTTGGTGTTTCTAGGTTAAAACTAGGTCTTATTTTAGAAAATTAAACCCATTTTATCGTTAAGCTAACTACCGAGTTGGGGTGGTACTGCAACTCAATCTATGTGCATCGATGAATCATACAACTCCATAAGCCTTTTATATTTTTTATTGATGTCGACATTTAAACTAGTCTATAAAAAAGTAAGATATTGAATATATTGAATTTCTTGCAAGACCACTAATCTCTATAATATATTGTCTCAATTTTCATTTTTTTTCTTAAAAAAATATTTGAAAACTCTGAGCAAAGCAAAACATTTAATTTGTCCTACCCTTTGTTGGTTTAAAAACATTTCCTCTTTAAATTTAAAGACTAGGTCACCTTATTTAAAAATTGCAATCATACTAATTAAAGAAATTAAATATTAACTAATATCAATATAAAATACCTAGTAAATCACATTAGTTATAAACCCCTAAATAGTACAATTCATTTTCTGGAGTTGATGCAAAGCGTGGAAACGAAAGTCCTACCTCGCTATTACTTCTTATATTTCCACCCCAGCATAAGGGGGAAAAAACCACCACGTTTATATTTAACTAGTAACATCACCCCCAAAATTAAAATAATTACTTTCTCAATCTTTAATATTAACATCATCTATATCAAGTATAAAATTAAATACATATCAAACCAATATTAATATTCAATATACAGTATAAAATACCCATAAAATCTTATATTATTCATACCCAATGAAGTCGCTCGTGAAAATATTGGGAAAATGTGCTTAGTATGTTTTAAAATGATGTATCATGTATTATAGATATTTTAAGTCAAGAATTAATTTTCATTAATTTTATTTACAGCCTTGAATAATTCTGACATGTTGCATGTGTATGCTTGATTCATTCTTTTCTTTGTGTTTTTTTTTTTTGGCCTGATCTTGATTCATTCTTTCAACCTTTAGACAAAATCCAACATTTTACCTGATCAATAATATATAATCCTTGACAAAGTAAAGAAACAACATAAATATGAAAGCCTATCTCTGCGCCCACATCATCTGATTCCAAAATTCTCGTTACCAAATGTTGACTTGACCTCATTCCCACGCACATCCTTTCTTCTACTAATTAATTCTCTTGGTTCTATCTTTTTCTCATATTTTGCTACTATCTGAATCTGATCGCGTCGTTCATGAGAAAAAAAAATCAAATAATACATTAGTTGAAAGATTAAAAAAAATAAAAAATGGATTTTACAACGTCATATCTATTGTGTTACTCTTTTTTCCGGATTCATAAATTAAATGAATCTAATTTGCACTCGTTGCAATTTTATTGTTACGATTAATTATTTGTAATTAAAAAAATGTATCTTAATCAACATTCATCATAATGGTTGTATCAAGATGTGAGGGGGTTTCCCACCCCCGTGTGTTATTTCTAGTGAAATAATATTGTCGGGACTTTTACTTGATATTTTGTCAAAAAAA